CTGATGATTTGCTGCTCATTGGTTGGTTGATGAGCTGACAATTTCTTTTCCCAACCGTAGCCGATTGATGTCGTGCTAGCAAAATGGGTAAGAAATTGTTTTGTGCGGAAATTATTGTAGTTTATTTTTAATTTTCATCTTCATTTGTGTGTTAAAGTGCAGTAAACCTAAATAAATTGTGGAAGTGGATTATTTAGAAATTTATGCCATAGAAAACTTTGATTTCAACCTCGCGCATAGGTGTCGGCCATGGCGCAGACATGTTTTTCTCGTGGTGTAAAATCAAATCTGTTTCCATCTCGTAGTTTCTACGTGGATTACGAGGTGCGATAAACGTTTCCCCATTAACGATATTTTATTCAAAGTATGGTATGTCGATTTCAGTATTCGATGTAAACATTAGTGATAACCGGCAACACCAATTTTTCAGGTAAACCCCGTGGTATACGCACAGCGCGTAAGCACGTGAACCATCGTCGTGAGCAGCGATGGGCTGACAAGGAGTTCAAGAAAGCCCACATGGGCACCAGGTGGAAGGCTAACCCCTTCGGTGGTGCATCTCACGCTAAGGGTATCGTCCTGGAGAAAGTGTAAGTATGTACGTTACTTCAACTCTACTACAGTGTAAATATCATTGTTTGATAGTGTGTGCGTACTCCCAAGTGTACCGAAGATGTGGAACAAACATGAAACTTGTGAAAACAGTTTTCCGCGAAAGTGAAGTGTGTCGTGTTTGAGAGGTTACGTGAAGTGTATTGGGCGTCGTGCGGTGCCTCCACGCGCGGTATTATTCCTGTGAATGTGTTGATGCTACAATCACAGGATAATACTGCGAGTGGCAGCGTCGCGTCCTACAACAGAAGAGCGGGAGGCGCCAAGACGAGAGAAGACAGTGTAGTTCCACATGGGTCATTGAACTCGAGATAGAGGTTATGCAGTGTATGTGTTTACATTGTAAATAATAGAAAAGTTGTGGTTTTTCATTAACACGCGATGTAGGTTTTGTTAGTCTGTAGAGCTTTGTTTGGAGAAGTAATTCTAACTTAAATTTGGGCTTACTGACATACCAAAAATTAAATTGGGCCAACCAAAATATGTGCAAAAAGTAACAATATAATTATTAATGTACTGCATATCGTAGACACATCTGTAGCATTAGTTAAAGAAATAAATGACATAGTTTTTTTCCTCTCCAGTGGTGTAGAAGCCAAGCAGCCTAACTCTGCCATCCGCAAGTGTGTACGTGTCCAATTGATAAAAAATGGCAAGAAGGTGACCGCGTTCGTGCCCCGTGACGGTTGTCTCAACCATATTGAGGAGAATGATGAAGTTCTAGTTGCAGGATTCGGTCGTAAAGGTCACGCTGTTGGTGACATTCCTGGAGTCAGGTTTAAGGTGAGTTTATCTGTCACTGTATTCAAATATTTTGAACTGAAAGCATAAGTAATTTTAAAGTTAAAACCCACATCCAGTTTTGGAATCATTTAATACATAGAATAATAGTTGGTGCACCAATTGTGGATTTTGAATTATATTTACCTACAAGTGAAACTTAAGTCTCATGACCGAAACCAACTAATGCTGCAGGAATCATCGTGAAAGAAGAATGATCAGTGAATATCAATTGAAACATTTACTAGTTCAGCAGCCATAAATAGCTATATGCAATAAACACTGGTATTTTGATTGCAGGTTGTCAAAGTTGCCAATGTCTCGCTCCTAGCCCTGTACAAAGAAAAGAAGGAGAGACCAAGGTCATAAACTGGCACTGTGATAAGGTAAACTAGATATTTAACATTACATACACAAAAACAAGTTTTAGTACTTTATTCTTCATGATGTTAAAACGTTCGTATTTGCTACTCCCGACTGCCGTGACGTCACCCTATTTTCTGATAACAACCTTATTGCTTTGAATCAATGCACTATTAACTTGGAAAAAGTAATAATATTTCTTTGTTGCAGTGACCTGCTGGGATGCCTGTTGTTTATAAGTGTACACCATAAAATGTAAAATCCAGTGCATAATAAAGTTTATGCGCGCCAATATTTGTTTTCTTAAATGCCTTGAAATTATTTTAGTTGCATAATTTTTTATGATTAAATTTACTAATGTTGCTAATACTAACAGCCGAAATGTTTCAAGGTAGGAAAGCCCTGGAGATGCTAAGCATTTTTCTTTTTTCAATGTAAAATCGAATGTTTCCTGTTGGTTCAGCAGGCTTACATGAGCCTGAAGACAAAAGTTATCTCCTTCAAACTGTCAATTTTCTCGAGGTTTTCGACATTTAGCATTGTGGACTTTCCAAGGGCGATCTACCAGCCCTTAAATTATTTTCGTAGGTATTCAATGGGAGTTTATTTTTAACTTCTGACGTGTGTTGACGCGGCCAATGGCAAGTGCCAGTCTGTTTCCATGTTATTTTGGCCCTCACGTGGCACAGCCATAGATTTAGTATATAGGTACTAAATCTATGGGCACAGCACTTATGGTAAAATAAAATGCTTGTTTTGAAATTTGATCCGCATTTATTACACAATACACATTAAAATAATGATTGCGATATATGAATGAAAACAAGTTAATCGTTGTTTAAATAGATTTAAATATAGTTTCGTCTTATTCTAAGGGGCTTTCGCATGAGCGACGTGCGGACTAGAGAGCGCAGTCGCGGGATTGACTATTGCGTACCTTGAGGAGCTAGAGTGAATAGGATATATCTGGCTTCCGCGTAAGAGATTTTTAATTTTATTATGTTACTAAAACGTTCAGACTTTCTAGACAAATACCTAACATTTGTTTGAAGTTTTAATTCTTACTTTAACCTAACCTAACATTTGTTAGGTGCTTGTCCGGACTATCCAAATTTCGGAGTGGTAACCCTATCCACTCATAAACAACTCGGCAGTAAGTATCAAAGAGTTTGGTATTCAAATGCCATATATTAAAATCGATCTTATTTCGAGGTAATTCCTTGATAATTACATTTTTACCACGATCTGATTTCTTTTTATTTCCTCCGACAAAATGACGACACTGATAATCGTTTAGTGAATAACCACGACTGTTAAAACCTTATCTCCACGGATGTCAATCGTTTTTTTTTACTTGTATTGTTTTCAGTTTCAATCAAAAGTGCACGAAAATTGTAATAAAGTGGAATTTTGATGTTGATATTTAAGAAAACTGATGTGTATGTGCCGAGTCTGATGACGTCAATAGCATTTACATCACTAATTGAATAGTGCGGAAGTATTCAATACAATCTGAAGCGTACAGAGCACGTGTAACTTCGTCGTTATGACTCGGCTTGTGTGTATTTGTAAACACTTCTGACTTGGGCAGAGATACACGGAAACTGCCACAGGGCCTCCTCATTCACTTGATTGACTATGCGATCCCTAACGCTCAGTGTGAGGCACGCGTGCTCCAAATCATTTTAAGTTCATTATTGGACTACAGTTCTTGGGAGAAATCATCGGGAATCTGAGAAACCAATAAAATGAGTGAAAGTTGGTTAAATCAGATTTGTTTGTCTAACGAATTGGCTTGTTTTGAAATCATCAGACATATTTTTTTTTTAAATACATAAGAAATAACTGCAGCCAAAATGATAACGTGATTTTTCGCTCTCGAAGCCAAATCGTCCTTTCTATACATTTGGTCGATCGAACTAAAACGAAAATAAATTTACAAGTCACTCCATACACCGTGAATTTTAATTAGCGAAGAAAATTCAAATATGCACTTACCCAAAATTAAATATAGCCGACAAACATGACCTTCCTACGAAAATTTTTTTAATGCTTAAAACTTAAAACTTCAACGTTTAATATAAATATATTGTCGTACGATAGTTGTCTATCAATGAAATTTTATACGTAAAGTGAAGGTCTTTTGGTTGGAAATGGCAACAACGCACGCGTGTGGTCCGGCGCACAATTAGCTCGTTATTAACAACAATGAAATTTGCGTTTGTCAACCTCATTGATGTTGTATTTTGTTTCATTATTACTTAAAAATTATGATAACCACTAATCTCGTGAGGTGTTTTAATTGTCCGTAATCCAATGCTCCGAAAAAGTGAACAGAATGTCGCTCATTAGGGTATTTTTCTATGGATCCTCGATTACAGTACTGAAAAGCCATCGTGCATCGTTGAAACTGTTCCTCGATAGACAGCTCGCGGTTCACAAGGTTGGCGTGCTATGGATGACCCGACTGCGGTGGTCTTTGACGCAAGTAAAGTTCATTCTAAAAAAATATATTGATTCTTTGTAAAACGCATAGCATAGGTAGATCTAAGTTTGTTACAGAATGCATAAATTATTTTAACACTTTTGTAAATAAAATCCGTAGAAGCATGACAATGTTTTCGGCTAATTAAAATACCACGGTGTATATAATAAAAATAGACCAAAATTTCATGAAAAAAATCGTCAATATCTCTTCTACCAGAGGAGATAAACGAAGATTTTTCTCACAATATTCCTTTCGGCTTATGTAAGCAATAAGCCTATACGCTTTAATTAATTACAGCTATAGGTTTGCACTTGAAAAATATTATTTATCGGTACCTTTTGACTATTCATTATATTTTTCAAATATCATTTTTATATTTCTCAAATATTTTTTTCCTATTTCTGGAAGTCAAAATAACATTTTTCAACACCTGCACGCCACTGTGAAAAAGAAAAATTAAAATCTATCCAATTTCATCTATAAAAAGAAACGTTTAAGTATTGCATTACAGGAGCTTATTTAATAATAATATGTTATACAATATTTACAAACGACTTTGCACTATAATCAATTATAATTAATTCATTATTGAATAGGAATAAATCGCGACTTCTATACACATGTTACGAACTTTTCGTAGAACTATCCATATATTTATTCTGTCGGCTATACGCACAAAGCAAAAGCATCCCAATGGCATTGACACCACAGTTTCTAAATATCTGTGAATTGACAGATAATTTCGGCTGTCTTTTATACTCAATTTATTAAATTCTCTTTGACATACAATAAAACAAGGTACACATATTGTACTAGAAACAAAGAATATCATGTTGTCTCTGTCACACCAGTTTAGTTCAACCGCGCCGGTCAGAGCAGAATAATACAATAGACAGCATGTCAATTATCTTTCAACAAGGTACCTCATGTGCATATTATGATAAAGATAACAATTGAATTTGTATTGAATTGATATTCAATTATTTCTTTGTGAAATTATTCCACTACGTTTCTTATAATTATTAATACAAAGATCGAACACTTGGAAAAAAATCCTTGGAGCCGGCCGGACTCGAATCGACGTCTTATAGCAAACCAACGACGCTATGCCAACTAAGCCACGGAACGAACCAGCGTACCTCACGAATTTTTCCATGTGCTTGTTTGTCGGATCTGTGTATTTGGTATTCAACAACTTTTTAGCCGTAGCGCCATCTATGAGAAATCTATGAAAGTATTTCGGCACACTGTTAGATAACTTTACAGCTACCAGCTGTGGCTAGAGATCACTATTAACTTTAATTAAATTTGTATTAATAATTATAATAAATATTGGTCAAAAACATCAAGAGGAACCCTGTATGTCGGCGAAAGTACACAACCGCACAATGATCTAATATTTGCTAATACTCGCCTCATGCCCGGCGACAGGACAAAACATATTTCATAAAAAACATACGAATAGTTCAACAAATACAAAGATCATCTAAAAGGTCATTATATTTATTTGTCAGAGAGCGTTTCAGCGCATTTTGAGAAACCCACAAACTTGAGGCGAATTTACCGTAACCGCGACACGTTCGTTTTTTGGTATTCATCAAATAATTTATTGTGTCGATTGTGTTAATTTAAATTTTAACAGGTTTAAGGTTTACACTCCGCTGTAGATCTAAAAATTTTAGTTTATCACAATAGAATGCAACAACAACGATCTGTTCAGCAGGCTAACCGTAAGCACATATCGTCGCCTTACTTTTTAAAAACTCTTAAAAAACAAAGTAACTGAAATGCAAAAATTGCATTGTATATATACATATTTGTTGCATGATTTTAGATCATATTTCTTACTACGTCTTCATATTCACACACTGGCTTTTACCTATTCTTAAAGAACTGCATCATAATTAACATCCTTGATAAGTTTAAAATAAATATCAATTTTTGCAATCTCCGTATCTCTCGTATCTTATGAAGAGTGCTTATTCACTCTCTTCATAAGATACGCGTTTGAGAAAGTAAGGCGTCAATATAATTCGTTGCTTTTGGGCAACACCCGCAGCTATGACCTGTTACTCGCAACGCTATTAATTCATTACCAGATATAAGTTATTTATTGTGTATATTTATTTATGTTCCTTCCTTTTTGTTATTTTGTTTGTTTTGTACGTTTTTTTTCTTACTTATTATATCAAATTGTAGTGTGTGCTTCTGGTATGTCAATAAACGTGTTCTATCTATCTAAAGACATTCCGGTGGCATTAATATTCTGCTCGTCCGGCTTAGGTGCCGTATAAGCCACTGTTCATTCATTAGTACTCATTCTTTTGATGGATAATCAGTAATCAATCTTTTGTTATAATTGGAAGTCAAACTTTTGACGCATAATTAGCAGTTTAACTTTTGACACTATAAGCAGTTTAACTTTTGACACATAATTAGCTAGCAAACGTTTGACTATTCAACAATATTTGTCAAGTTTGGCTGTTAATTATGTGTACGTGTCAAAAGTTTGACAGATAATTAATAGAAAAGTAACTTCTAGAAATGTCCTCAGTGGGACAGAAGCCAAATACCCAAAAAAAAAAAAAAAACTTCTAGCCATTTGTATTCGTAAAAATAGTTGTTTAAATGGGAACTATGAGCGAGAAAGACAATATAAATGCAAACGGGACTGTGTAATGCCTTATGCGGATAGCCCGCAGTGCATTGAACAATATTTACCTGTTAATTTGTCAAATTTGGTTTAAAAAGGTGATTAACAAAACCGACACGTGTTTAATAAGAATTTTATGCTATTACAAAATTACACGCCAAAGTGATTATGTACTTGTGCCACCAACTTAACACGGACACATTTGAAAACATCGATTTATCTGAAGTTATATCATTTGTTGAAGCGAGATGAGATTGATAGATTGATGTATGTCATTACGTTCCATCTAAACTCGCTAGTGGTACGGTGCTGAAACTGTGTTATAAGATTTGACCCTAAAATCACTTAAGAAGGTAAGTTGGTGGCAATGTGCATTTACGAAAACAAGTGCTTAAAATACACTTCTAAAAATCACAGAATTCAAGAGATTTTGTATCAAAGCACCTATGCACAACGTCGTGCTTTTTTGAAGTACTTTTCAATACGTGCAATTATCTCTATTTGAGTACCAAAAAAACGTGCAAATTTACCGAGTGCTATAATACTGCACGGTGTCAATAATTGTTGTTTAAATTTATTTAATTTTTACACTTAGCACAGCAGTCGTCATAAGTTTTTTATTCTTAATTATTTTGTCTTAAGTTTTTAGACTTGTAAGTGATTTTAATATTATTGAAAAACATTTGTACCTTTTTTTTAACTACTAGGTAACACCTAATTGATTAAGCCAAACACTCACTATACCACGTGACATTCTTCGCGCTGTATAATAAATGCCCGACTTTAGTTTGCGAGGCTTACTTATCTTAGTGCTGTCGAAGTACAAATCGTACAACACTGTTAAGGTTAAACTGCACTTAGCAATATGTATCAGCACTTCGCCGAAACTGTTGGGTGCCATTTAAATCGGCTTCAAGGTGCTGGAGCGAGTTGATAAGTGGAGTTTGACCCTTAAGCCTATTTAAAGTGTGCGAGTATATTATATCGTATCATTGGTATAATAAAGCCTCATGTGACCATACGTCAAAAGTACTTTTATCACATGAACGTCATAAAAACAATACGAACTACATTGAACAAAAATATATATGCGAAATTGTACAACTCTCCTATTTAAGCGTAAAAAAGTTGCCGACTATGGTCTTTACAAAATATAAGGCACCTATCGCAACGTAAATAGGGATGCGAACTAAGTACCGGCACGCTATGGTGGCCGTTTTGACGTTTGTCCGCTTACCAAGTTTATTATTAATTCATAACTACGTTGAAGGAGCCAATTGCTGTACGTTGTTATCAATAGTCAAGTGCAGTAAAATTTATGGAATGTATAATTGATTTTACGACACAACTCGGCACTTGTTTTTCGAAATTTTCACAAATGAAATCTAATACAATCGTCACTAATGGGGTCGCTGGTCAGCACAACTTCTACCTCCGGCAAACCCACGGCAAAGCTCAATGCAAAACAAAGCAGTTTCGAATTCACGATACATTAAGTAAACATTATTATTTTCGTTTTATTAAAACATTTTAATCAGCTACCCCTTGCAATACTAGTTACAAATCTAAAAACTTATAGATGCAACTCGTATTTGATTAATGTGGATGCGACTCGTATTTGATTAATTGTTTTTCGATAATGAATTGAGGTTTGACCTCACTATTGTAATCTGTCATAACTGCCATCATAGCGTTACGCCGGTACTGTAAACATATCGGTAACCATATTAAGCGATTGTCACGAAAAATCGGTTTAGAAATTTGATGTCTGTGATCGTTTAGATTATTACTCGGGTTATTAGTTTCCAGTTTAGGATAACCTGTAGTTACATAGCAAAATTCTGAAGCAAAATAAAAACACTTCATAGTTTTAAATTTTTATTCACTTTCATCCGAAGATGAAAATGAATGATCAGTTAAGCTGGTATCACCTGTATGTATAATTATTACGAAATTATTATTGAAAAAAATAGACAGAGGACGTAACTGTTTTTAAGACGTTTCGAACTAACTCAAAATTGCATTTTATTTTAGAATTCATACGAAAATAATGCTTGAAATATGTTCTATCATATTATATATTGCTTCATTAATCTTAATATATTTTTTTAAACGCAACAGTTAATAATTGTTTTTAAAAGTCGTTAATTGCGTTCAAAGTTAAATATGTAATAAATAATCGGATGCTGTGAAAATAATTAAATTGTAGAGAATTTATAATAAAATTGCATAATTTGTTAGTTACGCAATGCTACTTACTATTGTATGTAATAGTTTTGACTTCTGATTATTTTCTAGTTAAATTCCAACTGATATTGTTTGTTTCTTATGTTATTGTATTAATTTAACTTTAAATGCATGCTAAGTTTTGGTGAAATGTACGATCTAATATAATATTATTAAGATCTGGATTGTTAACTACACTTTACAGAAAATTAGATGTTAAATTGGGCCTTACATTGTGACTATTATAATTTCGTTCGTAGAATCTTTACTCCAGAAAATTATCATTTTTGCAGATAAGGCTTTATTACACCAAGAGTGCGTTAAATACAAGTAAGTCTCGAAATCTAAAAAAATATAATTTCCTCTAGGGATGGTAAGCAAGAAAACTAACGCTGAACACAAATTACACAAATGAACCTGTAAATGACGAATCTATAAAATATGGCTAATTCTGTTGCGATTTGTCCAGCTAATATTGATAGGTCTGTCATTTGCGCAAGCTAGTATTGTAAGAAACAATTTTGTTTATTAAGTAAGACCTATTAATATTATATAAAGCAACAGTACTAGCCTCAATCTCTTAGCGCAAGACCGGTCAGGCGAACACCGCAGTAGCGCGTCGGATGACGAACCTCGCCGGTGGCGGCCGCTAGTCTGCGGGCGCCGGACGTGGTGGAGGCGCACGTGGTGGGAGAGGTGACGCAGGCACGCTCCAGCTCTCGTTGTGGTTCCATCTGAAACGTGCATTCTTTTTAACCAACTGTAAAAAAGGAGGCGGTTCTCAATGTATTTTTTTTTGTGTATATTACCGCGATTACTTCGGCACTTGGGAATCGAATTTGATGATTCATTTTTGTTAGAAAGAGGGTACTTTAGTGTTGGACCCATTTAAATTTGAAGAATATATTCTACCTCTGAGGGTGGCACTGTTTCGCGCACTTTCCGGTAATCGATTCTTAACTTTTTAGTTTCAGTTTGTATGTTGTACACGTAAGTAAACTTTGAAGTCGGTAATTTTTATTTTAATAAAAGTTATCGAGAACACCGCCGTAAAGTTGTCTGCTTATTCTACAGGATATATCGCGATGCAATTGCATGATTTAATTTCGCCTTCCCCTTTCCATCATCGGGAGATCAGAGGTAGACTAGGGTTCCACCCCGCACGAAGCGTTACGCCTCCATATTTATTTATAAAAGATTTTCAAAATGACGACTTCGCTTTTCAAAATCGCGGAACATACGTGGGGGTATACCCCTGGGATAACCCCTCAATGTGAGGGGTATCCCAGTTCCTTTATAATGGATTGGAACAGACTATGGCTTCCATTCCGTTCCGCAGTAATATGAATTGAGCGTAAGAAATAAAGTTATAACATACGAACCTGTATCTAACATGCGGCAGTGGATGCGGCAGCGGGTAAGGCTGCCGATGCGCCAAACTCTCCCGCGCGCTATCGGGTTCGTGTATCGCTCGCTCGGGGTGTCGGTCACGCGCTGCAACGTGGTGCCATTTCACGTACCCGCTGAGCCGGCGTTTCACCAGCCCCGCCAGAGAATGCAGCCAGCCTGTTCGCACCGATCTTTCAGTGCGACGCCCCTCCCCCCTCTACACACCTTTTGAAACGCTCTGCCCACTCAGTTTTAGCCCTTTGGTTGTTTTGCGAATATTTAAAAAATGGGTCAATCGGAATTTTCTATATCTCTCTCATTACTAAAGATCGGAATAACGCGTTTACCTAAACTTAAAGGAAGTAACACATGAGAATAAACACGTGGAGTGGGTAATATCCACATCTGAAATCCCAGAATTTCCATATTCTTTGTGTGACTACTCGTTATTTACTACTACAGTGTATTTAGAATAAAGTTTTTGTACTTGTAAATAAAAATAAAACCAGTTAAGTAGCCACGTTGAGGCAACAGGCACTGGTTCTAGTCCAGTCATCAAACTACAGGCCTACCGTTTAACTTTGTCGGTTCCTGAGGTATGTGCGCGGTGCGGGAGGAGTGACTGTTTACATAACAGTTATGTAGCGCTGCACACGGGATAATTTCAACAAGAAATTCTGACGATATTCAATAACAAGTTGATTGAAAAAAGTGCCAAATGCTTTGTCTATTAATTTCAACTATCAATGAAGTAGTTTATTCATTATCGTTTCACATAACAACAATTGACTAATTTTGTAGGCACTTTTTTTGGATCAATTATTGAATATCGTTAGAAAAATCTTGTTGAAATTATCCCGTGTGCAGCACGACATAACAGTTATGTAAACTGTCAATCCTCACGCGCCGCGCACCTACCTCCGGAGAGTCTGTAGTGGAGTATTGTCACAAAAAACAGATGAATGTCTGGATAGTAAAAATAAATATTTATTAAGATTTTCTTTTAAATTTTCCGGGACTACAGAAAAGTATTATCGACTACATGTGATATACTTGAAGTTTAGGTAAATATACGCTCTCTGCTAATTACTAACATAAGAGAAAGAGATGGTGGATTTTTGATAAGTCTGTTATTCAAACTTTTTCAGCATTGCCGTGCAATCATTAGCTAACGATCGCGTTATATTTGTATAGCAAATTGTAAAGCGCCTCAAACGGAAGCAATATAATTTGCCATGCAAATATTTATTGTTAATATTCTGGTTTCTTTTTATCGGTATCTTTTCAAAAGCCGAAAAATATTTGAAAACTTACCAATATCTAACCAACCAGAGAGCTCAAGTTGCTACATGCCTGGTAGAGTTACGTGAGAGCGACAGTACGAAGCTATGACGTGGTATATGGTGATGAATTTATGAAAGACAGGACCCAGCACCTTGCTAACAAAGCTTAACGCACACGCCGATAGCGTACGTGTTTGTAGTATTATTAAAGAGCTTAAGTTGTGTCCGATTTGTTCTTTGGCAAAGTGCCAGTCGAATACGATAATCTTTCCTCCACACTCGGAAAGACTTTAGGTCTACAAAATTTACGTTAATGAAATAACATTATCAATTTTTCCCACAAAAAAAATGTTGTATATTAAAATCTTGATTGAATTTTAACAGTAAACTATAACGAATAATGACGTACACAGCAACAAAGTGTTCACAACGAAAATAGCTTTAAAGTTTTATTTTTCAATTTACAAAAAAGCTTTTATTAGCGAGGTGTTAAGATCGTGTGGCTTGGTGAGGCATGTGACAACAACGGGCAGGCGATGTGGCGTGGGGGACAGCGGCAAAGCACACTTGATAAGCATTGATAGAAACATATTTTTTAAATAGTCTCGGCCCTTTACAATCCTATACGATGATCAAACAATATAAAAATTGTCCTTTAACTTTTAGTCAATAAAACAATATTAACTTTTTAAAACTTTTTTATAGCAATGTCATGTACAGTCTTCTTGAAAAGTCGCTGTTTGTTTAATTTCATTTAAAGTCATTGAAGTAAAAATAAAATGAACATTAAAGTAAATTTACTTAAATTCATATTATTCAGGTTATTATTGATTAAAAAAATATTTTTATTGATGTAAAAATATAATCTAATTAGGTGATTAGCGACTTTTTAAGTTGACAGTACAAGGGCTAGGAACCATATCACAGAAGCTAATTTGATCGTTGCGATGTTGTTACAAAGCTATTGCGATGGTGTCACAATATTGTTGCGATGTTGTCACAATATTGTTGCAATGCTGTGACAATATCGCTACGATACTATTAAATTGAACACAATTAATACAGAAATATGAAATGTAATGTAAATGAGTTTATTTTGTATTCCATTTTGCGTACGTTCAAACGTCTACAAGGGCTACCTCCTCCGGTCCCAGTTTGTAACAGCTCTTTTGTGGTATGGTCTTATTAATCTGTCTCTATTTAACTATATAGCTTCTCGAGTAATAATGTCTTAGTTGGATTGTTTCTATCAACGCAAAATCGACATAGAAATGTACACAACAATCTGAACGGTAAACAACTTAGATGGTTCGGAAGCAAAAAACAAGTTAGTATATAGCTTACATTTCTACAAGAATCTAACGTTGAGGATATGAAATGGTACTTTGAAAGTTTAAAAATTTTGGTTAAAAAAAGTAAAAAGAACGTTCTGTGTTTACACATAAGGTGTATTCTGAATGAATAGCAGTTCCCGAGATACTGATGAAGGGCTTACAGATTAAAAAATCAATAGCCCACTTTACACAGTCACTCTATCGCGCGTGATTAGGTGAGTATAGGAAAGCCTGCACGCGCAACCGTGCGCGATTACCTGTTTGAAATTGTTTAAGTTAACGTTCTTACGCGCGATTGCTCGTGTTCATTTTTTGTTGCAAGGGAAAGAGCGTCCGTGTAAAGGCTAATAGTGCAGGATCGTCGAGTATGTAACCAGAAATAGAGACCAAATGTCATTTAATTTGTTTGTTAACTAATCTGCCATATCATTACTGTGACAAGTGCGCTCCGTTTGACCAGCCCGAATTCGAAACAATTGACGAGTGTCGTCAATTGTTGCACTTCAAATCGACCAGCTGACTTGAGCTTTGCTATAATGGACGAAAATTGCAAAATTACATTAAATTTAATTAACGATGAAATTTGATTCCGTTTGCTTTGTAATTAGATGTTTTGCTGTTTTTCCCCACACCATCGAATGGAACAGCACGTCATTGATAGAGATATTATCTTTATTACAATAAATACAGAATATTTTTGGAATATACGAAGACCTACACATAGGTCAGTTGTTGGCGCTGTCTATATTGCAGTGCAAACAAAAGTTGATATTTATAAGTGAAGTATTTATTATAGAAGTTAATATTTCGTCTCTATTTCTGGTTATATACACGATGTGCAGGATAGACCGCGTGAAACTGGCGCGCTGGAGTGCGCGATAAAATGTCTGTGTAAAGCCCACTAACATCAGCACACCGAAGTACTGCGCCTACGCATGCGTTTTTTTATACACACATATACATAACACACACCCGAGCGATTTCCATTCAAATTCGCCTGACAGTTAACATGAAATCACATAGGCGGAACAGTTAAAAGAGCCCGGGGACCCGCGGATACTTTTTGAAACTGCACTGAGCGCTCTTTGAAGCAAGCAAGATGCACTAAAACCTCCGATGACGTGTGATCCACGTGACGTCGCTTTTATAATTCTTTATATAGAAATGCAGCGTACGCCGGAAGTCATCGGGACGTTTTTCCCGGACGCTTCGCCTGTGTTATAACCATCGCCATAGGGGCCTAATAGTGACAAGTTTACACTAAGTGGACATTAACGCAAAATGCAGAAACTTTCAACGTACCATTATAAACATTATAACTATGATCTCCTTCTAATGATAATTTATGAAATGCATTTCAAAAGCTCACGTTTTTACAACAATAAGACATTTTGAAGACACACAATTCCTTAAAGGTAAATTCTGGTGGACGTATAGCGAACATTTCTGTTAATATAATTGAAAAGTCTATTTGGGAAATGTTCGTTAAGCTTTTAGAGATTAACTTTAAAGAACGAGTTGAAACTGTAAGATTTGATTCCAAAATGATAATTAACGTAATAAGGGTTTATGCTTTATTTGCGGGCGCGGGCACGTGTACGTGCACGTGAGACGGATAACTAGCAAGAATAAATTTAGCATAACTCAGTCCTTATTATGTTTAGATCAACGACATAAAGGTAAAAATATTTCGCCCCTTTCATGACAAAATGTGCAATAATTGGCAAGAAATAAGGAGTTGAACACAATGTAGAACAGAAGAAACGTTGGACGCATCGAACAAAAACAAACGTAATAAAATAAAAAAAGGACTGACATAGTACTGCAGTAGTCAAAAAGTGCACCTAATGGAAAATGGTAACGGCCGTCTACAGACATTTGCGGTAGCTAGCTAGGAAGTATCCTTAACACTGTAAATGTATTGATAAGATTTTAATGGTCGTATTCTAGAACTCTATCCAATGCTCAAGTCAGGATTGCACTGACAACACAAGCACTGGAAATACGACCCTAATGGCAGGGACTTGAGTATGATTTCAAGTGCTTTAAACCATACTCAAATCCTGACTTGAGCATTGAGTAGAGTTCTAGAATACGACCCTAAGACTTTTGTGCCTGTGGCTACACTGCCTGTTCCTGCCCTTTAATCCGGAACACAAGCGTTAGTTTGCGGTAGAAATAAATAGGCCGGTAGTTTTTAACCAATCAATTTTTTTTAAATATAATATCAAGTGATGGGACGAACAAGTCGTGTGCCTAGGGTGGTAAGCGACACGCTTGTCCATAACAGTTGCAGTGCCACTCAGAGCTTTAATACGCAAAAGATCGAAGAGGCACTGACACTGCGCCCGTCACCCTGATACCCGCTCACGCGATACATGCAGCCGTAGACGCATACCACACCTAGAGGTGCCGGTGATGATTTTATTCCGATTTATCATCGAAGTTATAACAGATAAAAGAACTAATATTAATTGCTATTTCGGTAACTACTCTAGCAAACCATAAAGTTTTTAATGCCTGGGTCTGTCATTTAAAAAAAATAAACAACTTCAAAAATACGTCACGACAATCGTGTGTGTTATTGTTTGGGCTGGTGATTTCGGTGTTTATTTATTGAAAACATACCGTAAGTAGCGTTTTTTAAGTTTACCCTGAATATAAATGTTTATAAACTATACTTTAAGGAGTAATTTCATGGTAAACGTCAGAACCACTCAAACGGAATATTATCATATTTATCATGTACACCAAAAATTTCATTAGTGCTTTTTAAGTGCAGGATTTGCGGTGTATTACTGCATTTTATTTTAAATGTTTTTGTTGGTAGTACGGAGGGTATTTATTTAGCAATGCAGAATAATAGTTTTTATTTATAAAAACTTGTATTTAAACTGAATACTTTTCTAATTTGCGAAATCAAATAGCCGCCATTTTGCGGTAGGAGGAGCGCATCGCGTGAGCGGATACATAAGTTGACAAGTCCCATGTGCCTGTAATTTCACCAACACCCCTACCCTTTAAAATCGGAACGCAGTAATGCTCACATTTCTACTGTTCCGCACTATTCCGAGTATATCAAACTCGCGACTAGAAATGAAAAACGAGACCACATTACAAGAAAGCCAACTGTTCTTATCTTCTTCATTTTCTTGTTTCTTGCCATTTATTATGCACTATAGAGCACAAGCAAACTCTGCAAAGCACAGTTGCACCTAAAGCGAATGCCTCTGCTTCTTCGTAGTTGTTCTCTTATTTACAGTGACAGGTATCGTTCTAGCACATACAGTGAACAATGATAACATGAGATGATGAAATGATTGTAGACAATTTACTAAAGTTCAAATGCTGTCATTTCGTTAAATATATGGTTAATCAGTTTGCGAGGAATCTTTTTAAAATCTATGTATCAATAACAATAACAAAATAAAATGGATTATTTTGCTTTTTGGTGATTTGAATTAATATTAGACATAACTGGTTGATGACTTTAAACCTATAAAACCTATAAAGGGCGATTAGAATACGCGATTCAGAACAAAAAAATAGTTTTATTTCCTATCGTGATATTCAATAAAAATAATTCTTTTTAAAACATTCGGAATCTGTTTCAAGGTTCTACCAAAAGTCTGTTGTGCATACATTAAGATTAAATTGAGTTGAAATTGTTCTTAATACGGCGGTTCAATTATTCACAAATTTAATTGCAATATTTTTTTTTAAATATCGTGTTTTTACTGCCATGATATTCATCTATTTTTTGTGAAAATAATCCACTTGTTTGCTATTATTATTTGATACAACGAACGTACAAACATAAAGAAAAATCCTTAGATCCGACGACTGAACTTAAACCAGTATGTCGCCGCAACGTGGCTACTGGATTAGGTAGTTTTTTTTTTATAAATATGAGTACATATAGGAAATGAAACTATTTTTCCGGATTTAAATCGCGTATATTTGTTTTTCAAACAAACTGACGTTTCGGGCCCTTTACAGGTCCCATGGTCACGGTTGACAGCGATTTAAATCCGGAAAAATAGTTTCATTTGCTATGTGTAACAATCGCGAAAACCTAAGAACTCGAAATGCGAGTACAGACAAAATAAAAATTAATATGGAGAAAATTCGCACGACGCTCTTTGTCCTCTCCTTCCCAATCCGTACAGGTATGGAGTGGAGTACACTAATATAGTTACTACCACATTTTAACCGAGTTCAAAAAAGTAGGTTCTCTATTCGACTGAATTTTTTTATCTATGTTAGAAAGAGAGTATCTCAGTATTGGTCTCATTTAAATTTGAAGAATATATCGACTGTGAACTGGCAATCGGTACTATCTCAATTTTGACAACTTTACAAGGATGAATTTATATATAAATTCAAGTATAAGGTCTACGAAAATCTAATAGTTTTTTTGGTAAACTTTCTTGCTTTGTCATGAAGATTTCTATGATGTAGCAGATACTGTGTGAATAGCTCGCGTATTCTTAATAAGAAAATCAATAGCGCTATAAGTATCCTCCATCATTATCTGTTAAATGGGTAAGTTATTTCCCCAAGGGCTGCTGACGCAGCTATAGCAACTGTTCGGAGTTGAATTTCTAATTAAACCGCTAGGAGCCGCAGCCGCTCGTATGCTTACATTGGGAATAATTTCTTTGTGTACCTATATAATGGCACAGTCCTGTTTTCATATAAGAATAGATGCTATAAGCATCTGATTTATGAAATAAAAATACGTAGTTTTTAAATATTTTTATTACACATACACCACGTCTTTTTATTTAATAAACCAGATGCTATATAAATGACGCAAACAATTTTTTCTTCATCGTGCAAAGTTGTCAAAACTGAGATAGTACCGGTTGCCAGTTCACAGTCGATATTCCACCTCTAAGGGTGGCAAACTAGGGGATGAATCCGGTTTCGCGCACTTTCTGGTTTCAATTCAAACTTGGTAAATCCATGAACTTTCGAGGTCGGTTTTTTTAGTACTCTGCACTGAGATTATTAGATACATGAATATTGTAGTCTGTCACATAATCTGACTAATGATTATGGCCAAGTGTCTTATTGATAATTCTTTTAAATTTTCGGTTGTATATTACTTTCCACCCGATGATATGGCAATACTGAGCGCGCGAGTAAGGATTTATTGACAGCGACAGTCTTGAAAACGAACAAATCGTCTGTTTAAAGGTAAAACCACATACGTGATATTTTGTACAAAAATCTTTATGTAGCTATAGTAAGAAAATCACTATCTTTCTGCAGGTGAAACTCAATAACAAAAAAGTTATAAACTGAATAAGTGGTTTTATTAGCAGAAAGATGATGAGTGTCACAACAGGTACATAATTTGGAGATTTTTTGTGGATTTGTGGAATGTCACGTATGTGGTTTTATCTTTAAACAGACGAAATAATTACATATATTTAAAGTCTACAATGATTTCACCATACGTAACAATCATGAGAAGCAGTTGAGTGGCAAGCGCAGCTTATTTTGTTGCTTTCTTTTTAATTAGTCAGACTGGCTGCCCTCATCCTTTATATACATTTAAAATTTAACACAATCGAAATTCTTGTCATTATGATGCAACATTCACCGTAGAACTCTTCTTTATTACTAAAGTATTATGGAACTCAATGAAATACATATGTTATCGTAAGGTCGCGTTCCCATTAAGTCGTAACGTTTTATTTATCGTTGGATGATTGCCGCGTCTAGCCTGTTCCCATATCACGACTATCTGTCGTGACTGTATCGTGAACGTTTATTTCATCGTTGAAGGACTGTCGTGTCTAGCTGTTCCCACTAAATCTTGACGACAATTTATCGGTTCACGGCAGCCACTTGTCGTTTGGACGACAGAATCGTTTGAAGCTGCGATTGCCTGTCGTATCATGTCACATGTTTAGTGTGACGTTTTATTTATCGTCGGACAATGTCGTGCTAGCTCTTCCTTTTGTCACAACAGTCTGTCTTCGTGACGTCAAAAAAGTCGTAAACGAGAGTTAGTCGTGTTGTAGTTATAATGTGTGAACAACTTCATTTATATATACAAGCCACGACACTTTAAACTGCACGACAGTCTGTCGTCACGACATAATGGGAGCGCGCCCTTACACTACATTTATTTATACTTGTATGGAGTTACCATAGTTTTATTATATATCAATACTGCCAAAAGTTTGCTATATAATTAGTAAATATTCGTTTAAACGGCAAGGCGAAGCCAGACAGTCAATATCAAGTCTATCGTGTTTCGCCTTACGCCGTAAACCATCAGCACACATCGTAAAGTTAAAATAGTATACATTTTAAACTGTGCCTCTACCACGAGTTTACTGTGACAGTTGTCGCTAGCGACCGCGTAAATTACTTCACAATTTTGTATGGCAAATTTTACAGCGCCTCTAGCGGTCACGAGAAGAAACAACATTCTGTATACAAACATTTTAAGCGGTCGCTAGCGATAACTGTCACTGTAATCTAATGGTAGAGGCACAGTTCTAAAAAAATAACGGTCCTGCTAGTGTCAAAAACTTTTTAAAACTACCTTGTCATCATTTAAACAATGTGGCGTAATTCAAAAATATACATATAACTGTACACAGTGTATCTAAACTACATCATTACAGCCATTTCTAATAACTTACTCTGGTCGTCGTGGTGATGTTTGGTGGGCGGCGGCGCGGGCGCATTCAGTTCCTTCCGGTATCCGTTACGCAGTTCGGCACGCGTTAAACTTTGACTGCGGCCTTCCTGTAACCTAAAGAGAACAGTTTTAAAAAATCTTTTCATAATTACAAAACGATTTCTAACGAGTTTTCCATACCTGTCGTGAACTAAAAATGGAGACGGTGGGTGAAGAATACTCTCTTGTAGGGACATATGTCTCTCCAAATCCATACTGCCATTCACTGTAAATATGGGAAAAAAAATTATAAATGCAAATTTTGCATACATATGTAGTGAACATCGGGTAAACTCGGAAACCACGACAATTTACAAGCGCAACGCGTTAATAACCGCGTCTATATTAATGACTTACGAATGTATATTATTTTTTTAATAATACCAAGTGATGGGACGAACAAGTCGTGCGCCTGGTGGTAAGCGACACGCCTATCCATAACAGTCGCAGTACCACTCAGAGCTTTAAATAGCAAAGATCTTAGGGGCACTGCCACTGCACCCGTCATTCTGAAACATAAGTTGACAAGTCCCATGTGGCTGTAATTTCATCACAACGCAGTAATACTTACTTTATTGCTTGGCGGCAGAAATAGGTAAGGTGGCTGTACTTCCCAGGACGAACTCTCTCACAAGGATCTCTACTGCTACTAGACATTCGACACTGTCTAATATTTTATTGAATATCAAGTTGTTTTATCGTGATATTCATACATTTTTGTGAAATAGTTATTATACAGAGGTCGAACACAAAGAAAAAAGAGTAAGTCGACCCCTCCTACGTAAAGTATCGTATGTCCAAATTGCCAAGTTTACAGGTGAGCGTTTTAAACTTCTGAATTCACTGAAATAAGCATAATACGTGACTTTAGCATTTCTCAGTATTATTCTCATAGTTACTCACATAGCGTATTATAAAATTCTAATTATCGGTTAGATGATCTATTAGATGATCACTGTATGTGAGCAACGAGTGAATTCAGAACTTTAAAATGCTCCCCTGTCAACAGCAAACTTGGCAATTTCAACATATGATCTTTTACGTAGGGAGGTCGAAGTGATGGGCTGAACATATAATACGTGTAATAGCAAACGACACGCCGCATATTTATATATCTAATAGCAAAATATTATTGGTTATTAAAACACAGATCTACTACACTCCGTTTGGGATAAACGGTCGTTTAGTTATCAATGAATGCAGATGCAGAGAATAGCTAGTAATAAATACCTTCGTGGTTTCCTAATAGACTGTGGTTGGGCCTACTGGTTCTCGGCGGCGGTTCCGGTGATCTCCCTACACTATGCTCTTTACTAAGACTGCAACAAAATGTATTATTATTACGCTATATAACGTAATTGAACAAAGAACGATACTGATTTGTTACAACAAATGATAGCACAGTAGAAAATGAACAAACAAAAAGTAATAATGTGAAAGAATATTTTAAAATGTTAAAAAAGGAAAAAGGCAGAAAACAAAATCACAAATTAAACAAAAATAAAATAGCTACATACTATTTGCAAAAGACAAAGACATTAAATAAAAATATAGTAAAAGTGGTACTGGTTGAAGCAACAAAGTGTACGGTCTGAGTGAAAAAAGCGTTCGACAGGTTCAACGGAGCGGGCGAGCGGGAAGAGCGCGTTTCAACCAAGTGACTTCAGCACACGCTCAGCGTTTGTATGCGCTGGTTAAGTTTTTATCATAACATCTACATCGTACAATTCTATTGATACGTATTTAGAAAAATAATTACAGCTAAAATATTATTATAAGTCAATACAAGTTCTAAGTGACATTGTTAAGCGAAGAAAGCAGTTTGGAGAGACGACAAGCAAAGAGGTTGAATGAAGATAAATTTCAAGAGTATTCTTATATTTTTATACTTTGAATGCGAAGATAACAATATTTCTGGTTTATTTTTATAACCATATTTCGATAATTATGTCTTCGACCGACCCCCGCGCCACTCAGCCGGCACTCAAGACACCACGCTCGCACGGTGCATGGCGAGAATTTGCGAATTGCTCCGCATTGCGCATTCCCGCGATGTTAATCTTCTCTGTGTTTTTTTTTCTATACTTTCTTATCAATACCGACTGTTTCTATACTTTCTTACGATCCATGTCGCTAACTAGTTTAAAAAATACGTTCAGTACGGTTGGTGATCGTCGAAGGAATGGTTACCCGAGCCGTGGCAGTGAGATGTCTTGCGCCACGAAATCGTGTCGCAGCAATTCGCAGTTTTGTGTTTCGAACCTTAATACGAACGACTCACGCCCCGCCAGACGCTTGATATAACAGGGTATTCTAGCCGTAGACTAACTCAGCACATATTACATAGTTAATCTAATGTTGTTTATAATTAAGGTGGTTAAGAGACACATTTCATTAGACGTAGCGTGCATTACCTTCGATGTCTAGGCGTGGCGTGCAGGTCGACCCGTGATCTTCGCTGCTGGCTCTGGTGCTGGAACCTCTGCAGCACTATAGGACTCGTGTTGCCCGAACTCTGCAATAAGCAATAGCTTTAATTCTTCTAACTGAACATGTGAGTCCCGTTAGAAAAACAATACAGTATATTTTGGAAATGAAACTATTTTTCCGGATTTAAATCGCGTATATTTGTTTTTTCAAACATAACCGACGTTTCGGGCCCTTTACAGGTCACGATTGACTCAGGTGGTACAGTCTTCAACCAGTTATGTCTAATATTAATGCAAATCACCCTATTTTTTCACTATAGTTCTCGAAACGTCGGTTTGTTTGAAAAAACAAATATACGCTATTTAAATCCGGAAAACTAGTTTCATTTCCTGTGTGTAACAATCGCGAAAACCTAAGAACTCGATAAATACAGTATATTATTTATTTGACAGTTAACATCTGTGAACTGGCAACCGGTACTATCTCAATTTTGACAAGTTTACAGGTTGAAGAAAAAATCATTTATATAACATTTGGTTTATTAAATAAAAATATGTAATGCACATATGTATATACATGTGTAATAAAAATATCTAAAAACAACGTATTTTTATTTAATAAACCAGATACTATATAAATGACGCAAACAATTTCTTTCTTCGTCCTGTTAAGTTGTCAAAATTGAGATAGCACCGATTGCCAGTTCACAATCGAGTAATTGTTTCGGACGGATGTAGGACGGAGAACGGGAGCAGACACCCTGGATCGAAGTCTATGCGCGCTATCAATTTGAATCATGCTTAATTTTATGACCGTCAGGATGGCTGGTCGCCTGTGGCGTCAAAATAAATGCGTTTTCTAAATAATTGGTACCCTTGATATATTCTGAGAAATTTAAAAAAATAATTGGCCAGCCATTCTAATATCAGGATGGCTGGTCGCCACTTTGTTCAGCATGAAGGGAGCAGATTTTCCAGAAGTAAGTATTTATTACCAATAATTGCTACTTTCACGAATTAAAGACATACGCTTCCTATCTACATTAGTTAAAAAAATATAAACGATTGAAAATTTTACGAAGAAGTGCCAACGCCTGCCCTTTATATTATGGCAACAGAGCGCTAAAAAACTTTAGCTTTTTTTTAATTTAATAAAATTCGTAAAATTTTCAATCGCTTATATTTCTTTAACTAATGTAGATAAGAAGCTTATACCTTTAATTCGTGAAAGTAACAAATAAGTAGCAATTCTTGAATATACACTCAGTGCCAGACGTCACAGGCGACCAGACATCCTGACGGTCACTTAATTTTACGTAGTCGAAAACAAGTATTACACATTTTTACATTAAAAATTACACAGTAATACGAACAAGTTCAACTACTGAATCCCATGAAATCTCTAAAGGAACGTCTGTATAAATATACTTAGTTCGAGTAAGTATGACCATTCAATAAACAAGCCTAGTGGATGATGGATCCCGTAACAACACAGCGCGCATTTTGTTATATTATGTATTTATTTAATTAATTAATGATAATTATTTAGCTTTTTTTATAATACCAAATGACGGGACGAACAAGTCGTGCGCCGTGTTAAGCTACACGCCTATCCATAACAGTTGCAGTGGCACTCAAAGTTTTAAACCGCAAAGAACTTAGGGGCACTGCCACTGCGCCCCTGAGACATATGTTGACAAATCCCATGTATCTGTAATTTCACCAGCACCCTTCCAAACCAGAACGCAGTAATGTTCACATTATTGCTTGGCAGCAGAAATAGACAAGGTGGCAGTACTTTCCTAGACGAACTCTTTCACGAGAAGCTCTACTGCTACCAGAAAGTTGAAGAAAGCTGTTCTGTATTTGTTCACTAGCATTTGTATTGTATGTAATAGATAAGACTTTAATACTTACGGCAGGTGAAGGCCGCCATCGGTTTTCCGCGGAGACTCGTCGGACCGGAGGTGGGGGAGGCGAAGCGTCTATCGTTCTGTACATTTAAAAGTAGTCGATACAACAACCAAATTGGAAAGCACCACGATTAAAGTTCATTGGCTTGGCCATGTCAAGAAGGTGGGGTAGGATCGTGCAATATCAAGAAAGTTAAATGTAATTTAATTAAAGGCGTATTTACACAGGGTGGACTGCCCCCTACGACAGATTACTTCGCTTTGCCGAAGGAGGCACAGTCGACTCGCTGTTCGTGTTCAGCGGCGAATACCTTATGCCGATTGGTAAATTCTTTCACCACGATGGCATGCCTTATAGTGTATGCCTTCGATACGATAACAAGAAGATGCAAACTAAACCTTACACTCTCTACTTAGGGTACGCCAATAAAACGAAGTGTATTACGCTTACCTTCTTCTTGGGTAAGGCGAGTGGTTACAAAAATCAGTCTCTAAACTGGTTGGCTGTGAGCTGCTACCGCCTGCGTGTGCGCTACTTGTCATCCGCCACGCTCTGAAAGAGGTAATTTTCACATTAATGTTAATTCTTCGAAATATCGTTCTACGGCCCGTCTAGGAACAGGCTGTCTTTATTATGCGATATTCCACCATATCACAGCACAATTACGGTGCAATATCTGAGATACCAGTTTTTGAGAATCAATTTACGTACATGTCAATTTTTCCTGAATTCGCCAGCTATGACGTAGTCGGTTTCGAAACATCAGCTCCTATCGTAAGCAAAATATCTACCAACATAACCAGACCTCTATTAACAACATGCCAGTTACTTCCTAAGCGTCGGTGTAGCCAGGTTCGATATTGTTTGCTAATTGAAATACGTCACAACGTATTGAGAAATCAGCGTCCTGGAGCCATTACCAGCTCTGACCGTAAGCAAAATTGCTGTCCTCCGTAAGATGCTAGGTATCTGCAAGGTGCAGTGTAACCTGGTCTGAAGTTAGTTGCTAACCTTAAAAGCTATGGAATAGTCAGAACGTCGAACCATTACCAACTCCTATCGTAAGCAAAATTACCGTCCTAGTTAACCAGAGATCTATTGACAATGAGTCAGCTACCTGCTAGGTTTCAATATAGCATGGTCATTGGTTCTGGGAAATTCGGCACTGGTTGAATTTTACCATGTAATGCAACCAGATCTCTCTTACCAATAAGCCAGTTACCTGCTAGGTGTCGGTGTTGCTTGTTCAGGGGTCCAGTGCTGGAAGAAACTCCGCACCGGCTGTGGAGTGGTCGGTGTTGATCCATTACTAGCACCTACAGTATGAGTAGCTACTGTAGATACATTCTTCGTTCCACTGGGACTAGAGATTGGCAGAGAGGCGTACCATGCTCCAACAGACACTGAATTTCTTGCCGATTTCACAACAAAAGGATGTTCTAATAGCTTCGCGTACTTTGGACGTTGTTTGTAGTTTTTTGTAAGGCTGAAATTAAAAAAATATTTAAGGTACATTAACTTACAAATAAATGGACGACGGGTCTAATACAAAAACCACGAAAAAATGTCCCAAGTCAACCTATTTAAACGTAGTGACATTTCAAGGAATATGAAAAAGCTAAAACGTTGAATTTAAATTGTAATGTCATCGCAGTACTGTCTAATTTTGCTTGCTTCGCTGTCAGTCGAACAAACGAAAACTAGAGCGTGAATGACGCTCTGTATACGATTTTAACGCCCTATAAGTTCGGACACTTTTTAGCGCGGACCCGACGTCCATATAATTGTAAGTCAATGTTAAGGTATTAAATAGATTCAGGCGTTACTTTGCGGAAGTCCATGTTAATAGCTGCCTCCATGGCCGAACGGTTACCATGCCGGACTGCCACGTAGAGGTCCCAGGTTCGATTCCCGGGCCGGGTGAAATATTTGACTTGCCTACATTTATTTCTCTCGTGAGTTTGGATGTAATTTGTGGTTGTCTATATGTGTGTCCATGGCACCCGCGACAGAGGGTTTCCCTAGTGCGAGGCTATGTTAGGTGTGTACGTTATTATTATTATTAATAAAAATGGAAGTAAAAATACCCGTAATAAAGGTAATGATGCAGTTAATTTATTATACAACCCATGTTGTTGTACCTAATTATTTCCATCTGTTGCATCATCACCTTTATTACGGGTGCTTTCGGGTTTAGACTTCGGTTTTCGGGAGACTACCAAATCTAGAAAATTCGAACCCACTTCGGATGTTGCTTGTGCAATAAGTCCGATTTTCAAATCCGAGAAAGTACGAATATCGCTTGACACCTAGAGATAAAATGACACTTCGGACACCAGTGACATTCGGACCGTCATTTCTCGGATACTAATCGGATGTAATGCGCGAACGCTCTTTGTCTATAATCTTTAAATTTATTGAATGTCACGATATTTGACCACCATGATATTCAAATATTTTTGTGAAATTACTCCACTAGTTTGTTATAATTATTTATAAAAAGATCGAACACTTGGAAAAAAATATTTTGATCCGGCTGAATTAGAAACAACGTCTTCGAGCAAACCGTGCTAGACTCTGTGTCAACTAAGCCACGGAACGAACTAGCGGACCTTACGAACTTTTCTATGTGCTTATGCAACGT